GTGAATACCGCGTTGTGGGCACCGCTTTCGGTGGGGACCCTATGGGGCCACGAAACGTGCGAAAGGTGTGCCCAAATCGGCGGGGAGCCGCATGTCGACCGTGCAACTGGGGCCTTCGGTGGAGCTCCCTGTGGGGCCACGAAGCGTGCGCAGGCTCTGCCAAAAATAAGCGGGGAACCGCATACGAAATTTGCCGCGGGGCCTTCGGTGGAACCCCCGATGAGGCTGCGAAACGCGTGAGGACTGTGCCGAAATGGGCAGGGAACCGCATGCGAACGCAGCCACTGGGACCTTCGGTGGAGGTCCTTGTGGGGCCGCGAAACGTGTGAGGAGTGTGCCGAAATGGGCGGCGCGGAAGCATGCGAACGCAGCAACTGGGACCGTGTGGCGCGGACGCATGCGAACGCAGCCACTGGGACCTTCGGTGGACCTCCCTGTAGGGCCACGAAACGCAAGAAGGGGTATGCCGAGATTGGTGGAGCGGACGCATGCGAACGCAGCCACTGGGACCTGAGACCTTGGGCGGAACTCCCTGTAAGGCCACGGAACGCGTGAGGGGTGTGCCAACATGGGTGGCGCGGACACGTGCCAACGTAGCAACTGGGACCTTCGGTGGAGCTCCCTGTAGGAACATGAAACGTGTGAAAGGGTACTTGCGCAGGACGAAAAATCCTCTTGGGATTTAAATGGCGATGATGAGTGCACGAGATAACAGAGGCGCCGCCGAACGGACGGCCTCTGGACGAGCTGCGCGCAGCAACCGGGAGGAGAGACATACGTTCATGTTAAGTGGGGCCCGCGCGCGGAAAGTTGATGGGAGTGTGCAAGACAACACAAGACCCGTCCTGGATAGTTGATGACCGAACCCCCTTCCCCGTAGAATCTTCACACGGGCGGATTCCGGGGTCCTCGGATCCGATTTCTTCGAGCTCCTCGTTATAATCGAATGAAACATTTAGAAAAGGGGTTGAGATCGGACCTGCCGTTCAGAAAATGACATGACGCGGATCCAGAAAATCCGAAATCGGATCCGCGCGGACAGAAATCGGATCCACCGAAATAAAAAACAAAACCAAGATTGGACCCGCGCAAATTTCATTCGATCCGACGGCGGTTATCTCAGACGCGTCTGCTCAAGGCTTCAAGCAGTAGCTCCGGGCCCAAGAGGAACAAACTTTCGTCATAGGGATGGGCGTTTGGACCTTCCATGCCGACACCCGTCAGGGTCGCCCGCGCGGGGCCCGGCCTTTGGTCTACGATCTGCATTTTGCGAAGAGCAGATCGCCCTCCATCGAGATCCACATGTTGAACACACGCACTACCCTTCGCGTGCTCGTTCGGTGGTTGGCCCCGCGCGGGCGACCCAGATGGGGGGGTCAGGATGCGCGACGATGGAACCCGCGCCAAGCGCGAGGCGCCACACCATCGCATGAGAGGGCGCACAGGCAGTCCGCAGGTCAGGAGACGCAAGGCCGAAACGCACTGGGCGTTTTGGCTTTCGGACTTGTTGGTTAATCATGGTCGTCCGCGCGGGGAAATTCCGGGCCCCCCAAAAAAACTATCCCTCTGGGGGTGTATGCCCAAACGAAGGGCGCGGACGCACGCGAACGCAGCAAGCGGGACCTTCGGTGGAATTCCCTGTAGGACCACGAAACGTGTGAAGGGCGTACCGAAATGGGCGGCGCGGTCGCATGCGAACGCAGCCAATGGGGACCTTCGGCGGAGCTCCCTGTAAGGCCACGAAACGTGCACGGGAGGTGTCCAAATGGGCGGCGCGGGCGCATGCGAACGCAGCCACTGTGACCTGAGACCTTGGGTGGAATTCCCTGCACGGCCACGAAAAGTGTGAGGAGCGTGCCGAAATTTAAAGCGCGGATGCATGCGAACGCGGCCACTGGGACCTTCGATGGAGGTCCCTAGGAGGCCACGAAACGTGTGACGGGCGTGCCGTTCGGAGGGCAGAGGCAATGATGGGAGGAGGAAAGACGGAGCGGCAGGACGTGCGAGACGCGGCGCGCTCTCTTCAAAACGGGGACCCAACACCACAGCTTTGTTGGGAAAAAATCACGCCAGACGGTTCTCACTGCGCTCGGCCTCGACGGGCCCGGCCGTCAAAAAGCGACTCGAGATGAAAGGCTGGCCTCGGGGATGTAGTCGAGATCTTCGGGGTGTCGGCGTTGCGAAAAGACAGAACGAGGAGGAACTGATCCAGTTGCGTCCCGGAGCGAGGCAAGCATTGTGGGCAGCGCAGGAGGAGGAGGAGGAGGAGGAGGAGGAGGAAGAGGACGGGCAGGAGGAAGAGGAGGAGAGACTCGGGCGAGGGCCCGAGAAAAGAGAAGAGGAGGAGGAGGAGGAAGACGACGACGACGATGTATAAAAAAAGGCCTCAATTGGCGAGCAACCTTGCTTCGCGAGCCGAGATGCACCGGACCCAAGGGGTAGCAAACTCGAGACAGCCACCGCCCAAGGACCAGGGACCAATCGGAGTCCGAGGACTGAGTCTGGCACTACGCGGAGCTGCTCACTGGGTTTCGTCCCCTGCTCATTGGGAGAGGGCGGAGCCTATGCCGCTTGTTCTAGCGCTACCTCTAGCGCCTCAATACAGTATGGGGACACCTCGATGGTAACATTGTCAACTTTCGGGTGTCTCCCCTTCAGCACACAATATGTCCACCGCTCGAGATGGTTGCGATTCGGGGGGCGGCACTCCTTGACCAGGAAGGCCAGTGGGCCGAGCGTCGAGATCGATCTGCATCCGACCCAAACCAAAAGAATCAATGCGTCGCTGCAGTCGACGGCCAAGAGACGATGGCCTCTCGCGCCATGCTGCAACCAATCTGACACCGCCCCAGAGCAACCCAACGTCGGTGGCTGGTCGCTTTGTCCGGAAACAAATTCCTTCAAATGACGGCGCACCTCCAAGCACACCGCGCACCTCCTGAAAGTGCTACACCATTCCCACAGGAGGTGGTCAGAAGGGGCCGAGGTCGGGGGAGGTCCCAGAGCAACCTTGGAAGTCTAAAGCGGGCCACAGGGGCCAAACTCGGGCCTCCAGACAACGCGCAGCCTTCGGCTTAGCTGCTGCAGGCCGCGACTTGAGCCCGTCGGGCGGGCTTCCAGCTCCGCCCAAGCAACTCTACCAGCTGCGTCGTTGCCGCACTTGCCCCTGCGCTGCTGCTGGGTTAAATCAGCGCCGTCCGCCCCGCGCGCTTGGACCTTCCTCAAAAACGACTGATCGCCCGAACGCTCGGCAATCGTCGCGCCAGCGCACATCTTCCCGCGGGAAAACGAACAACTGCACCCAACTCGAACGCGTTGACAACATTCGCGCATTCGGGGGGAAACAAAAAAAGAAGAAAACAAAATAAATTGTATTATTATTTTGAATATATATATATATATATATATATATATATATATATATATATATGCCCATATACATATATATATATATAAAACCAACACACAACAACACACAAAAAAAAAAAAAAAAAAAAAAAAAAACAAAAAAAAAAAAAAAAAAAAAAAAAAAAAAAAAACTGCTGACAGGCCTCGAAAATTCTGGGCCACCACGGCAGGGGCCCCAAACTCCGCCGCCTCAGGGGGTTCGCGGTATTGGGGGGCCCCGGAATGACCCACGCACCGAGCGAGTCTCCTGAGCCTCCTGGGAAACCTGCACAAAACCCAACATTGCCCAACACAATTCTTTGACTGGGCGTCTGGACCCGCCCACGAAAAAGGTGCCTTCAGCCACCTGGCCGGGAACAACACCCGCCACCTCCCTTCCTTCGCCTTCGGCCGCGGCCGAGGAAGCTGGTCTCCAGGATGTTCAAAGACCTTAGCGCCTGGTCGATCGACGTTCCGAGCGGCCTGCAACGCCCCATCCTCGATCCAATTCTCCTGCTCAAATTCGACCGACGCGCACTCCCACAACCCGTGGAAGACCGCGCCCCGAGCCTGGCCGCACGAGGGATACTCGACACAGGGCAGCACCTAGCCCAGGTCGAGCGCGCGCTCTCTGGTTCACAGAGCTCCGCAGACAAGACTTGACGCAGCCCTCTTGGTAATATATGTATTTGGACGAGCGGAGGTGCGATGATATGATGTAGTAGCAAACTCAACGATCCACCCCGCGGACTTCCCCCGCGCGCCAACCAGCTGCCTCGAGACCCCATGAGTGCAGGCGAACGCGGAGTAAGATGAACGTCCTCTCCAAGTCCGCCAACGAGGATACACGAGCTCACCACGCCCCATCGGGCCACTGGCACGCTGAACGCCGGCCCCCATGCTCCTCGGGAAAAACCTGAAAGGCAGGGAATGATGAGGAGCTCACCTGGCTGGGGAAGAAAAATCAAACAAACTCCCAAGCGCCACTGACCCACGTAATGACGGATGCCTGCGAAGGACGAGGAAAGATGCGACGGACCTCATGCCCGCAGAGGGATGCAGTACAAAACACAGGCGACGCCTTGCAGTAGAGAGCTCACAGCCCGACTGCCCGCGCACTTCGGCCCTGCAGCATAAGCCCGCTAGAGGTCCACTCACAAGGATGTCGCGGCAGTGCGTTCCATGAACAGCCTAGACGCGCTCGACGCGGTTCGTCAACTGCTTGAAAAGAGCACATCTCTCTGCGCGCTTCCTTCTCTCCTTGGAGTCCTCCTGCTCACCCCCGCCGCGTCATCAATCCACACATTGACAGCAGACTCCACCAGAGTGGCTCCACTTTCCGCCCACGATATTGCCA